TTGACTCTGGGGTTCTTTCAAGTTATTGCAAGTGGAACAACTTAAGTCCATGACCCCCTGACACGTTCTTGGGGAGCATCCCTCCTGGCGCAACATCAGACCGAGCTTCTGACCGCTTGGATGCCCAAGATTTCTACGCAGCTTTAGTAAAAACGATTTTTTCCTCTGCTGACAGATTCGTGAACTTGGGACCATGGTCGTGACTTTGCAAATCGGTTCTGATGTGGCTCTCTTCAGGCATCTCTGTCGGCTCTGAGACTGGACATGCGGCAGCGTCTCGGAGACTGGGCATGTGGCAGGCGTGTCAACACTACTTGGCTGACATTGTCCTTCTGCATAAGGCTCTGTGAGTGTTCCCGTCGCCCCGGGACTCATAGGAGCATTGATCGAATCGTGGGCATTGTCGGACTTCGTCTGGGACGGGCTTGCGTACAGGGCGACGTTGATTCGAGCGGGGTGGGAAGGTCGAATGGATCGTCACAAGTGGTCGGGAGCGCTGAACCTGTCTTGAACCCAAAACGAGTGACCCCTGGTTTTGTTTCCTCAGGCAACGCTGTCGACATGGCTTGTCTGGCGATCGGACGACTCGGATTGAACCGAGCCTATATACTGTTGATGATTCAGTTTTCACGGCTTCGAAATGTCGGATTCTTTTTGACACAAGACCTGCGTTCACAGGATGTCCTTGGTTCTTCATGGTCCTGAGGTCCCGGCTTCTGAGACTCTCGGCACGCTTTTGCAATTCAAAGTGGCGAAAGTCTCGGCAGGTTCAACTTCGGCATTTTGACTGGTGGGTGTGATCAGGTCGTTGAGGTCAACTAGAAATAGTCCCTTGGCATTTAGCTTGATGGGGATGTTGCGTCTCAAAAGTGTGGTTTTGATCACTTCACCAGTCACTTCCACTGTGGCGCCGATTGCTCGGAGCAGCGTGTTGGATAGCAAAAAGCTTTTCGGCCTGGCACTATAGCGATCTTCAGTTTCAGAGGTCCGATTGGGACGACTAGTGCACGCCGGCTTTCTAGAGCGCCTTGATTTCCGAAACGGAAAACTACGGAACACTGACACCTTTGAACCTGCCTCCGGACCTCTGGTCTTAGGGCAGCTAGTAGATTGGCTACGAAACCGCTTCCATGACGGTCTTTGTAGCGCCGGTGTCTACGATTCCTAAGGCGTCTCAAGGCGAGAAGCTCGAGAACGCCCTGGCGTCTGCATCAACAATTCGGCTTCAGGTGACTGGACGGCGCTAGCAAACGTAAACTCTTGCAAGCTAGTCCTGACGGTGGGGCTCTTGAGGGCTTTGGTCATTCCCCCTTTGTGGTCTAAGTCAATGGATCCCCCCTCGTTCGACTCCCTCAAAATACCCAAATAACTGATGTCCCTCTCCCCTTGACGGAAAAAATTGTTCTGAATTTATTGGAGTGGCTTTCAGCGTCTCTTCTGTCAGCTCTGGCAAATCCAGTAACTCAAGAGGCAATGCATCCAGCTCATCATTCACTGTCACCAGTGTGGGAGCAGCTGCTGTCGATGGTGTGGACTGTGATCCACGTTGAGGGCACTCGGCCTTCCAGTGGCCTTTACGACCACAGATTCTGCAGCTGCTCTCCATGATCCTTTGCTGGAGGCTTTTGCGATTGCCCGCATACTTGGATAAGAGGGTCGTTTTCCCTTGTCACCCCCTTTCCCTTTTCCTTTGCCTTTGTTCTGACTTGGCGGCCAGAAACCTCGATTTTTGAAGCGCTCTGACAACCTTCGACGGGCGTCCATGTAGGTGGATTGGGTCAGAGCCAGGTCTTCATTCTCCTGTACTGCATCCAGCATCGTGGACTCATAGTCCATGATCATGGCAGCATCTTCATCGCCTTCGTTGGCAAGACTTTCAATCCATTCATCTTCATTCCAATCGTCGGTCGTGTAGATGGTCTCGTCCAACGACTGTTCATGGACATCAGCTTCCTGTGTATGGAAGACATTTGCCTCATGTCTTTGTCCGTGGGTTGCTTTGCTTCCCACTGGAGTGAACCTCATGGAAGAATCGACTCCCCAGGAGCTTGAAATTGGCCACAACCTCCCTGTACGCCAGCAAACCCTGCAATTCAACAATTCTTTTTGTCTTCCGAGCTCAGGGCTGAATTGCGAAGCAAGATGTATGCACGGAACTGTCCACGCCAACAACTTTCATGCTCAGCAGCTCCTCGAACTGGTGGTCATGGCGAGCTGGGTAGCTCTCATGTGTCTCGTCGGCCCTTTGGACGGCGCTGTAGATAGCACGTTCGAACCTTTCGAACTTGTCCTCTGAACGGGACTTTCCCCAAATCCGTCCAAGGGCCTCAACTGGCCTTGACCTGACACCTTCCAATGTTCCAACCTGCAGCTTCGTGGGATCCAACCTGGAGACTCGCTGAAACGCAGATCCCCGGCACTGCAAAGCGACTCGTGGAGCCAACAGGTGAAGCTGCTCGGGGCCACAAGGATGCAAGGAACTCCACCTTCTTTGACCACTCAGTGAGGTCAGTTTCATGTCTTTCCCTTGAAATCCGCAGCTCTGAGTGACAACACCCCCAGTTCAATGTGCGACTTGTCAACTGTCTCACGTCAAACAATGCGTCGACCGACCAATGTAAGCAATGTCTCAACCGACCAATGAACAACTGCGCAACGCTCAACAATGTTCAACTTGGGTCCAATCACCCACCGGTTCAAGCAGCAACTCAACGGTCAACCAGCTTGTTTTTGGGCAGTGTGTCCCAATGTACAACGCTCACGCTTGTCAAGCGACCAATGTACAACGCAACCAAGGCAGGCAGCACACGCTCAAGCAGTCAACAACCACGCAAAAGGGTCAGGCGTTGTCTGGAGCTTTAGCGGTAGCTCCGCTACCAATGTGATTGACAGGCTGGTAGCAACAAAAGTGATCTTCACACCCTCAGCACAGTCGCGTGCTCCTTTCCAGTCTGTGCACCTGAGCGGTCTGGTTCGAACGAACGGGCGCCTCGCCCAGTACAGCGTCCTCGCTGTAAGCCTATGGCTCGAAGTCCTCTGGACCCGCCCACGCCACCCTGCGGCCTCGCGCCCGAATGGCTTCGGCAATCGAAACACCTTGGTCAAAACAGGTGGCATGATCCTCAGTGACTTCACGGATTGAAATTCACAATATATATATATATATATCATATTTCATCTATGATGTACATCAATGCTCTTCGCCTCTTTATGAAATAGGCGTTGCTTGTTCCGTTGTTGTGACCTTCTTTGATTTGGCGGAAATTTCGACCGAGCTGGAAAACATGGAAAACGCAGGAGCCAGCCTGCACAGCCACATCACTGATTTTGTTGTGAGCAAGGTTGAGGGCGCTCAGGGTCTTGTTGTTCTTGAGTGCCTGGGCCAACACCTGGCAGCAGTGTGAGATTCCAAAATCACCTTCGGAAATAAATAAATGGCCTGCACACCCTTGTCAGTGATACCATTTGACGTCAGGTCGATGTGGGTGATGGTGGTGTTGCCCTTCAGCACCTCCGCGATCACCTGCCAACTTCAACCAACCAACCACCACTCAGAATCAGGAACTCGCCTTGGCACCAAGATCGCCCATGTGGCAGTACCGGAAGTCGAGGGCAGTCATCGAAGCGAACCTCCACACTGAGCAGGAATGGTTGAGCGCCTCACCGAGCCGACGAAGACGAAGACGAGGCCGACCAGGAGTTGCGCCCCGGATTCAGCCTCCGCCATGGCTAGTCCTGTGGCCCTCGGTGCAAAGGCCAGGCTCAACTTCTGGAGCTGCAACGACCCGAGCGCCTGCAAGGCGAAAAAGAAAACCAATCGACTGATCCAAAGCCTGCGCAAAATCATCCACGTTAGTAGGAAACACAAATAGTGTAGTACGGCACTAGCTGTCAAAAGCCACCATAAAACTAAAACACCATGTATACTACAATGTATACTAAGACTTATAAAGTACCTGGATCCTCCTTTGGGCGGAAAAAGTGCCGGACCTCAATCCGGCAAAAATTTCCGCCGGATTCCGAAAAAATGCCGGAGACTTGAAAAAACATTCGGATCCAAGATTCTGAAAAACAGACGTGATAAAAGGTTGGATCATACACAAGCAAACTGCATTTAGCTTTTCTGGAGCACACTCATTCCACAACCCAACACTGGAGCCTTCCCGTTCCCGTTGCCCTCGCCCATCTTCTGAATGGCCTACGAGCAGAACCATCACAAAATATAAGCAGCTTGTGCCCAAGCAAAGACTTCCAAGAAGAAACCAAGTATATGGCAAGGAGCCCCTCTTTCTCTGCAACCGTGTCTCTAAAGTGTTTTACAAAGTGGGTTGCTCTCCATGATTCTTATGTTTTTAAATGTTTCTTTAAAGCTTGCCTCAGGACGGCCCCCCAATAAAGTAGCAGAACTCATGGTTCCTGTCAAAACTCTTCATTGAAAAACTTTTCAACATCAAAACCTGCAGAAGACTGAGTCTAAAAAATTACGCCGGAGTTACGGGAAGTCACGCCGGAGTTACGACGCACCATTTTTTAGCAACTCTCTGCAAAACTTTGAGGTTCTGAACAACACATGTTCCACAGCCCAAAACTTGTCCGGCAGGCTCTGCAAGCCTGCGCAGCTAGAACTATATGCCCGACATCCTGAAACAATGGGAGCACATTTTGGTGTATGTTCTTTCAGCTTAGGTACACCCACTTGGGTCTTTCAACACGTGCATCGCACTGTACCGGCTTCATCCGATTTCATTTGGAAGATCACCTAAACGGATCTGATTGATCCAGTGTGAATGAGAAAACGGCGGAACAGGCAAACGAGAACACGTTGCACACAAAATAATTGCATCAGTAGTGGGTTTACCTTCAAAGAAATGCGGACCACAAAGAATGCAAAGAGAATCCACATAAAGTTACTTGGAAAAACTGCCGGACCAAATCAAGAAAAACGCCGGAGTTGGAAGTCCGGCGCCGGACCCTGTAAAAGTGCCGGACTGAAGATCTAGGTATACATACAAAATATAATATATCTACAAAACTGTAGTTGCCCAACACCGTCCCGACCATGGACCAGCCTCGCAGAAGGCATTGGCCTCTCCTTCGCCTGCTCGGAAGCCGTGGATCTGCAATACCTTGAGGTTCTGAAAGTGGGGAAGAGATGCCGCCAGCTCCACCATGTCAGCTCGCGTCAAGTCCTGCAACTTCATGTGATTTCTTGATGTGACCTTTTCATGAAAGATCTTCCTTTGAAGCCGAACCACGCTGGTGGCGTCATTTCGATGTGTAAAGGCCGATGTGGCCATTCTCTCTTCAAAGACTTCGGGCGCTGTGGGCACCTTCTTCGCAGTTGTCATTATGCCCGGCTCACCATCGATGGCTAGATTCTGGGCCGGGATATTCCGGGCCGCAGACCATTCGATCTCGGCCATGCACCAGCCACGGCTCAGGTAGAGCACACGGTTCTCCCAGAGGTCTCTGAGTGAAATCCAGGCGATCGACCCACTGGGCAAATGGTACACGGGCACTTTGTAAGTGGAGTCTTCCTTCCTAGCAGTCCATGTCTCATCAGGTGTGAGACTTTCCAGGCGGAAAGTCAGGGTGCTCTGGTGAGCATATAACATGTGCATGTTGCCCATCGCTCGCCGGAAACTGGTCTCTTGCTCAGCTGTGTCGCGTTGGAACTGAAACAAAGACACATAATCATAAAAGATCCAAATGTCGTCGACGTAGGCAGCATCCCATAGCGCCACGCAGTTCACCAGAAGCTCCAACTGAAAGCGGCACGGATCAGGGTGCTCCCTAGTCTCCCACGCATGAGACACGGAAATAATCATGGCCTGCCTGCGGCCTAAAGCCCATTCGGCCACCTCCTGGTGGGATACCAGGGCTGAGACTTCCGTTCCGTTCACCTCGCAGCAATCGCGCTCCGCCTCCTGGCATCGCGGCATGCAGCGATCTGACCGTAGCAACTTGTAGAGGTACCTGGCAAGTTCGATGTTCAGGAGATCGGAGATGATATGCACCCACCAAAAAATGATGGTCTCAACAGAAAAAAAGTTCTGGGCTCGGGCACGGAGCCCTCACCAGGCGAATGTTGGCATCAATGAGGAACTGGGCCAAAGACTTTGGGTCTTCCAAGTCATATGCGGCCTGCCAAGCTGTGAATCCAAGCTGTGGAGCAATCCCAAGGTCGCACTTGGCCAACAAGACACACCAACCAAAAAGGCCTCGGGCCGCAGGAGGAATGGCACCATGTAGCTGTATACGAATCCTTGACCTCAGCTGTACAATTGCACTTCATACTACAGTACATTGGATGCTCGGCTGCTGGTACCGCTATACAAACGGTAGGCAGGCAGGTTGTTGAAGGCTGGACTTAAACCTGGGTCTTCCACCTATGCCGGACGTCTGCCTTTTTGCTGGTTGTTTTCCAATGAAAAATAATGAACAAGACCTAAACGTTGCACAGTTGGGAAGATCTCGGAATGGCCGATCCACTGGTCTAAGATGCCCACACAGATTTGTGGAAAGCCCTGCCCTTGACCGAGTCGCAGAACACTGCCCGAGTCCATTCAAAAGACCAAGCAGCGATTGCATGGCACATTTTTCAGCATCTCCTGCAGAAAAAATCATGAAAGTGAATCACAACCGTCAACAGGAAGGAACAAAACAGACATGTGATGTCGGATTTTGGAAATTAATGGAGGTGATTCCAACCGGAGTTGCCGACGCTTGGCCACTGCATTGGCCGACGTTTGGCGATGAGGGAAGAACGATGGTAACGATGGTCGAGATCGGTCTCCTCCAAGCGCTCCTCTGAGAAGTTGCTGCCTCAGGGACGTCTGGGCCAGGGCCGAAGATGGTGTGGCTTCGGTTGGGAGGCACAAAGATGCCATCCTTTTGCTGAAGACATGGACTCGATGAGACGGACGTCTGTTTTGGAAGGTTTGAACAAAGTTGGACCCAAATCTGAGTAAGGTCAGGATCAACAAATGGACTGGGAAAATGCCGGAGATCTTGCAGCTGACGTTATTCAGCCCTTTCGTGTTGAAAGCCAAAATGGAGACACATCTGGGGGAAAACCACTCGCGTCAATGTGGTACCAAGAGATTGCCAAATCACATTGGATAGCCCGTAGCCGTGGTCACCACAACGCTACACTTCCAGAAATGCTGTTCAAACCGCAAAAAGAAATTCTAGTTTCGTCTAATGTCAACATCTAAACATAATCTGCTAACTGTCTAGCTCCAGCTGCTGTTGTGTTGGCATGATCTTCCATAAAGGCTCGGACGGCAGAGCTGCAGGATCGTGGCAATGGTCCTCCGCGGTAGAACACCTAAGCGCTGAAAGCTGTTCGCTGGCCGCCACACCGATCGAATCTGGACGCAGAACTGTGGTATGTATGACTTATGACTTAGCCGAATGCCAAAAAATGCAAAACATTGCAAAAGTGCAACTGAACGTTCCTCCCGCATGCTTAAATCCAGAAAGTGACTTTAGTTTAAAGCCTATCAATATGCCTTTCATGGTCTGGATATTGATCCACTACTAGTACAAAAATTGTACAAAACATCCTGTTTCAAAAGTGCCAGGACACCTGTCTTCTGGGGATCAAAGAGTTGAAGAAACCGGAGAGCATCATGTACCTGCAAGCAACTCGTGACTGTGATAACTTACCTCGCTTGCCACACCCTGAAATGTCAAGTTTTACTTCGATTTGACAAACACAGAATATTGCATGACTCTGCGATCGTGCTCTGAAAAAAGGTTCCTCCCCGACGTTGTATCTAAGTATGTGTGTGTGCAAACTACGGTGGAACCAAATCAAGAGTGTCAGGTTCCTAGAAATCTTTTGCCTATACCTAAGCAAGGGGGGCCTTGAGCAATAGTTGATCCACAGGAAAGGAGCACCATAGCCGCGCTGCGGAATGCAAGGGGTTCCAAACAAAAATGTTTGGGTAGAAAGAGGGGAATGAGTCCGAGCCTGTAAGTTCATGAATGAGGATTCTACGAACTATTCCCGCAAATGCGGCCTAGGGGAGCCATATTCAAAAAAAACACAAAATTGACAAGAACAGTCAATTAATGTACACTAAGTTGATCAAACATCGGTGCCAAACATACGCTCAAAGTACATGCCGACAGCGTGTTACAACGGTACACATAATGACTGTGGACTGAAAAGACTCCGTCTTCACACACTTGAGATAATGCATACTAAGTGAAAGAATTGCCTGGGTAAAACAGGTGGTATGTAATGCGGTCTAACCATCTCGAACTCCTGAAGTGCCAATACATGAAAACCTCCAACCCCATCATGAAAGCGACAGCAACTCGCGACTGCAGTGAAGTAACCGCTGCTAAGGCTGGATGAATTGTTCTACTTACAAGCAGGGACCATAAGGAAATTAGCTTTAGCGCTCGTGCAGGTACGCGCAGCTGAGCAGGCTGCATATCCGGAGGTCACCGTAGAGCTTCGTTGGGCACAGCTCTATGGATTAGGATTATTGTGGACTGGAACCTGCCGGAAAAATCCGTGGTTGAGCAGCCAAGAGAGAGATGGAGTTGTCAAGACTCCTAGGCATTAGTTCAACGCAAGCGCCTCACAAAGAGACAAGCTAATCACTGGCATTTCATCGGCTCGGGAGCCCATGGCTGTGCACAGCATGTCATGAAAACGCAGGGTGTTGTCGTTGGACAGCAAAAGCCTTCCCTGCCGGCGAGTGAGCGGCAGTCACAAGCATAGAGTACCGTCGAAGCCTCACAGGGGAATCATTGGTGACACCAGTGGCAACTGAATCGGCAAAGGCATTCATTTTGCGAAGATCAGCGGCCGGAAGACCCCAATCCAAAGATCAGGCAGCTTGTCGTGGGATGGGATCCACATCACTTGGACACCTGCTGAGACGCAGGTGGCCGTCATGGACCAAAAAGCATACGTCCCCATGCCAAAAACTCCGTCCAAACCTCGGCGAAGTCGTATGACTATGGCCATGTTATCTACTAGTAGTTGAACAGGCACCACTGCGCATTTGGCAGCCAAGAGCGCTTGCATCAAGGCCGTCCTTTCAGCTGCCGCCGGGGTTTGATCTGTGCCGCTGACCAAGCCACAGAACTCCGACCACAGCCCAAGAAGCAATTCGCACAAATATGCAATTAGGAGACATTAAACAACTAAACAGGCACGCCGGTCTATGGGACCAGTAGACTCCGTGGACGATTCTCGGCAGTTGACCTTGAGACAATTGGGCAATGAAAAGCCAAGCAGGATCTGCCGCAGCTACAGGCTTCACTGACACCTTTGCGAGCAAGAACTCGTGCATCTGTGGCCGCTGCAACGGCGACCTGTTGTTTATGCGTTAGACTTTAGACCCACCCTCTTAAATCAAGTTACGGTGAAATTCAAGATAAGGGTGAAGGGAGTCAGTCAAAGGGTTGTCAACTTTGGAGTCTTCATTGAAAAGACTTCTTTCCCAAGACGAATAGGCAAGTTTAAGGAAAGTTGCAATAATTGAAATCCAACCAGGTCGAATATCCGAAAGGGCCCAAACTCCGGCGCGTTGGACTTTCCACTGCAATTTAGTCATTCCTTCAGCGGCCTGATTGGTTGCTCTGTAGGCGCGCCTCCATTCCTGCTGGAGGGTTTCCACTTCTGACGCAGCAAGCGGGCGGATGTTGAGGCCGGCCACAGTGATCCAAAACCAAAAGGCCGATCTACCTTTACACGAATCAGAACTCCAAATGGAAGCTTCAATGGTTGAGCGCCAGAGCCCCAAACTGTGTTTGGTATAGCGCTGCCATGGACCCGTCCACTTGAACAGCGAAACGATAAGAAGTTGCGTGAGAATTTTTGCGGGTTTGCAACGTCTTTGTCATTTGAACGCGGTGTGACCTCTGCATGATTTTTTCATGGAGGGCCTCAGCATTGGCACACTTCCCACGGGACCTAACAACGTACAAACCAGGCCCCAACAAGGCGGCATGGGTTTGGAGTTTAGATCTATCGCTTTGAGAAGAAACAAAACATTCCAGTTTGTCAGGATGGAGCTCAAACCCAGGAGTTTGGGCGTTCTCCATTGTTTGGCTACCTGATTCGCGGCGTCGGGCTTGGTGCACCACATTGTCCTATCATCCACCCAAGAAAATGGCAAGTTTCACTGTAGGATGCTGAGTTTTATTGAAAAGAATGCTAACTGTCATCATTGAATTGCGTAAGGCTGGGCTCGCGGGACAGCCTTGCAACAAGGACATGGAACAAGTCACGGGTTGAGGTGCAAAATGGCCTCTGACTGCAAACCATCGCTCTTGCAAAACGTAAAACTGGTTTAAAATATGCAGGACTCCTTCCGGAGCTCCAGGCTTTTTCCAACACAGCAGTGTCAACTTTGACAAAGTCAAAATACTTTCGGACATCGGCTTTTACCCCCACAACCCCATGGCCAGGGTGATGGGAATTGTCAAGGTCATGGTACAGAACCTGCACGTTATGGATACCTTTGTGCGGCATGCCCCCACATAACTCAGCCGGGGCCCATTGGCAAAGCAGCGCTTTCATGGTAGCTGCCACGCAGACCCTCCAAGCTAGCGTTGCAATAGCGAGGGGACGCTTTCCCCCATCTTCTTTGTCCAGCAAGGAAACACGGATGGCTTTCCAAGCTGCTGGCAGCTGAGCTCCAGCAAGGCATGCCCGCCAGAGCCAGCGAGCCAATTAAAGCTAGAGGCAAAAAATCCCACAAACGACTGGTCCGACCGTCAAGACCGGAAGCTTTCGACACAGCCTCGTGGCTTAATTTACGCGAAGAAAGACAAGTTATGTGACGTGTTGGGCAAGGAAAATGCAAATTTGGCAGGTCGGTGAAAAGAGTCTCAAGAGCAGTTGTTTGCGGAAGGAGTGGAGGGTTCCACACTTGGCTCCATTTTTCAGCTGCTTCTTGCGCTTGCAGCTGAGGGTGGGGGGGACTCTGTGAACTAAAAAGGAACCCCCTTGTTGTTGTCACAATTTGCCTTGACCCAATCAGCAACTTGACGCAAGTCAAACTTGACTGTAGCTTTTCAATCTTCGAACCTTTGGGTGGCATCACTTTCGGCAATTCTGTTGGCAAGCTGCAAGACCACTCCTGGACAATCGAGAGATGAGCAACTAATATGCACAAGTTCAGAGCACCGAGCACTCAACTGGTGAGCGTTCGAACCTATCTCTATTTTGAACCATCTGAGGCACTGACTGTTCATGTCTACGACTGGGCGCTTTCTCACTAGCGCCCAAACACTGTTCAGCAACATAGCTCAAGATTTTCCAAGCGCCGCACGAGTCACATCGCTCAAGGCAAGTTTCAAAAACAGGTTGGTTTGGCCCCCAATGAGCAACCCACCAATCTTGAGAAACAGGAACAGGTTGCAGTTTGGCACGCCGGGGCCCTTTTAAAAAAGTCGCATCGTCGTTAACTACAATTTCATAGGAAATGAGGTCGCGGTCGGCAACCCCTTTGACTTGAGTCCGTGACACAACCACAATGTCACGTGTGGCCAGCGTGTAATCAATGACATTTTGCGTACGCTCACCATTGGGCCGATGCGTGGTTCCAATCCGGCCCATAGAGGACACGGCTGCCACATCATCCGCATCAAGCAAACGGCCATGCAAGGGCAGTGGTCACCGGTGCTGGCACAGCCCATTCGAAAATGGTTTCAAGGGTTTGGCCCCCCTTGCTGTAAATAGCCATTTATCAAAATGCAGGGTTGGCAGTGGGGCCTATGGCATACGGCCGCAAGGCGCGGATCCCAGCCAGCTTCGCGAGCAGTTCCCCACACGCCATGGAGATTGTCCCTGTTAAGCTGTGTTTCTTGAAGGCGCAAAATATCCACATTTTTTGAATTGGCAAGCGTCAAAACATTACCCCATTTACCAGACAAGGAACAAACATTGAGCGTGGCAATAGAAATGGTCGAACGAGAATATACGCTTGGTAGAATATATATTCTTCGCTTGGTACGTAGAATATATTCTTCGCGAGCAACCCGATCAAGCTCTTTCACTGCTTTTGTAAAACACGTTGGTCATTGCGCACACACAGCAATTTGGACGAAGGGCCAAATTTTTTTGCCTGGAGAGAAATCACACTTGTGACAAAGCTGACACCACAAGACAAACTGGCGGTGGGGCAACGGCCACTTAATCTTGCGCAGAGCATGCTTGGGATGAGGCTTCGGCTTAGCAGTTCTGAGCAAGGGCAAGGCATGGTTAGCGAGAGCAACATCCTGCGAACTTGCATTTGGATCCGCAACGATGCTTTCAAGTCTGGCGATCAACTTAGTCCTTGATGCGCCTCCTCAGCACTTGACATGACACTTATACTTAGCGATTTCGCCAATGGACTCAGCAATGGCTTGGCACTTTTTGCAAAAGATATGACGATAAGTGCTGCGGGCGCCCTTACCAACAGCCGCAACTGGAAGTTCCAAGAAAACAACAGCATGCCGCTTATGCTGTTTGATGGCAAGCAGGCGACTGGCAATCCCCGTGCTGCATGATCTTCACAAATGATGCTTGTCAAACGTTTTGCAGCATTTGTCCGCTGAAACTTGACTTGAAATCTTCTTGGTCCTCATCAGGGCGCTGGTGCCTGCCGTGTAATCTGGCTGCAACGCCAACAAGGGTCGCCCGCAGACCCAACGCAGGACGGGCACAAGCCTCGATCCACTCATCATAGGCGCATGGTCGGGATTGGTCCACCCTCAGTTTGCTGCGTCCATCGACTGTCAGACGACCAAGAGGATTTGTAACGCTGGTGCTTCTTCAAGCGAGAGGCGACTTGGCACCAAGGGCCTTCGTGTTTGCCTTTGTCTCTTTGGCATCTCTACCGGATGCGAGGGCATATGCTGCGGCAGCTGCCCTGTAACTGTAGCCGCAGTCCCCTTGGCTGCCGCAGTCGAACAAGTTGTAACCAAAAGGTTCGGCAGCGGAATCCGCATGGTCGGCTTTGGCCTTTTTTCTCGACAGAAAGCCCGTGAGTATCAGACTCTCGCTTTTCACCTGGAGCCATGCTTGCGTCTCCGGCTTCGTCTTGACTTTTGCTGTCACCTTGCTTGTCCCTGGGTAGTGAATCGAGCTGCGTTTTTGCAATTTCACTTTGGGCTGGCGGCTGCCCAACGACCCCAGCATCTTTAGACCACTTCGACAAAGCAGGTCGAATGTCACACCCTGCTCTGGCGATGGCGTGCTGGCAGCGTTTTGGTGCGCGTGTGGACGCAAGGTGCGAAATAATGCATGTGTTGGACAAATCATAAACATGACAGGGCGTCGTGTCGGGCGCCACGGCTCGAACAACCCAGCCTCGGTCGCCAAGCGGCTTGCTGATTGGGAGATCTTCAGTCCATTTGTGAGTCGTCCTTCTGGAGCCTCCCATTTCTAGGCACTCCGTCAAGTTGCCAGTCAGTTCACAGCTTTGGGCCCGCTGTCAGTCTGACGCTCTGCCACACGAATCCCTAACGCAATACCCCTGCCTTGCCTCAACCCAAGACCTTGGGCGTCGGCTTCTTTGATGACGCGGAGTCTGTATATGCAACACGGTCTTCTTCAACCAAGGGCGCAACCCAGTCGACCTAGGATTTTGGGCCACGCTTTGCAAGGCTGTCGATGAAAAAACCTTCAAAACCTGAGATTCGCAGGAATTGGGCTTTATCTGAGGTGTTGACATTGAGGAAAGCGGTGAATTGATCCTCACACTTGGCAGCAGTGAGACGCCACCCATAGGAGCTAATGATTTGCTTAGACAACCCTTTCTTGTCACACGCAACATGAAATGCATTGGCGGGCTTGGCGACGGCTTTTAACACACTGTTTGTCACAAGTTACTCTGAGTACTGCAGTTTCCGTCAAGGCCGGGGTTTCAGTCTTAGTGATCTTAGTGACTTTGATTGGTTGCGACACAGGAGCCCCTTTACTCAGGCAAGGAACAAATTTGACAGTAGGTGGCGAATGTCCTGAAGTGACATGGAGCCATTGTGGCTTGGCTTCCTTGGGAGCCTCGCCATTGACAAAACAAAAAGTCAACCCACAGTCGACGTCATGCGCGGCCAGCAGCGTGCGAATTTCATCAGCTTGCGCAAGGTTGACTTAAACAAATTGGGCACTCGGCTTGGCGCCTTCTTCAAGTTCATTGATAATGGCACGGAACAAGCCCACAGCATCTGGTTTGTTCGGGTTCCTCCAAAGCTGAGAACCGGTTCCGGAGTACGAGGCTTGTTTTTCCGAACCACTTTGGTCCATCCTTGCTCGTCGGGCTTAGTGGTTGTATTGGCCGCATGTTTGGCGGCTGCGGCAGGTGCAGCATGGGTCTCTCTGGACGCGTATGTGCTGGAGGCTTAAATTTGACCCTTCTTCATCAGCCGCTTTGACAAATTTTTTCCAACTTGGAAAGCAAATCGCCTGGGTTTTTCTCCGCGCCTTGCACAAGTTTCTTTCAGGGAAGGAGGAGGAAGTTCTCAGTCTTGCTTTTGTCAGTTTCGCTTTGGGGTGTCTGCTTTTGAGCACGTCTTGGTGACGAAAAACTGGCAAGTAAAGACTTGAGTCCTTGCAACTGCTGCTTCTCAGGAGTGGCTGGACGTCCGGCCGCCTCCACCTCGGAGGGCAGCATCATGCCAGCCCATTCTGTTGATTCGCACTTCTGCTTGAACTGTGGCGTGTGTCAAAGCACGACGCTGGCAGTAGGGAATTGCAATGCACCAAGTTCCATTGGGGCAACAAACAAAACCTGTCTCAAGACTAATCTTGGTTGGTGATCACACTGGAACGGGCGTGGTTCGGCATCTTGGTCTTCGGCAGCGTCTTTGACCAATGACTCTAGCTTCAAAAAGAAAACGGTAGCTGTTCACTTTCATGATACATTTCCTTAAAGCAATCTCAGGGTCAACAGTTTTCTTTACACGGTGTTGCTTTTTCATCGGAAGATGATTTGCACCTTGGCGTTGGCAGAACATCGTCAACAGGCCCATTCCAAATATGCCCAACCAGGGCACCGCAAAACAGGAATGGAAAAACTGCTTGGTGCGAAGAATGCATTGCAAAGCATGGAAAGAACAAAACTTCCAACAGACATGCAACAAATCTTCAACTGTCAGATCGTAGGCAACTGAGAAACTCCAAAACTGCAAAAAAGTAGCCAAAAATGCCAGGAAGAAAGAAGTTCCCCAATCAATCATCTGCCGAATCATCATGGAAGCCGTCGCAGCGCGAGGCCGAACGAGGCCGAACGAGGCTTTTGCCTCGGCCACAAAACCGAACGGCGCTCTAACCAAGCAACGGCTTGAATCAAAATGGCTTGAGCCAATATCGTTACGGGCCTCATGTGGGCCTCCTCCTGTGCCTCCTGCTAAATCAACTCATTCCCTGCGATCCCAAGATTTTGACTCGATTGCGGTTTGCCACGCGCCAGCCTTTGTGAAAAACCTAAGGAACCAGGACAGGTGTAAGTATAAGGTGGTCTAAACATCTTTGAAACTTCAAAAGCTCAACGAAAGCGACAATGCACATCTGCAGACCTGAATCATCCTGCAACAGCCTGAAACCTCTACGAGTGGAGGATGGTTACAACGCTCACAACATAGCAAGTACACGAATGGACGTCTCCGTCCGCTTCCCCTCCAGCGATTTAGCTTCGTTGGACAAGGTTCATCGCTGGAGGACTTGCCCCCTGCTTAAAAACATGTACAAGTTCAAAGGAACCCCTGTGACTCCAAAGGGTTCGCACACACACACAGATATTTTACACTCGTGCCCTCATACGCTGAAAAACGAACACCGGCGAACGGTTCATCCGTTCTCCACCTCCTTCATCCTCTGCTTGAATTCTGGCAAGGTGAAGTCGTGTGGGTTGCCAATGCCTTCAAGGATTTGTTCCACCTGCAGTTAGCTCAGTGGCATGGCAAGAGCAACTATATGCTTCTGATCAGCTTCAAACATTGAGCTCGTGCAAAGTGGTGCAAGAACACAGCCACTGTTGGGCGGCGCCCGCAAACTCCATGTCTCCTTGTGGTTCGACATATCAAACTACTATATAATTACAGTACAAATAGTAGATGCAAACATGGCCCAGGGACTCCCATGTACCCTTGAAGCCTTGAAGCACTCCGGGTTCATATCAGCCAGCTGCATGGCATCGGCCAAATGAGAGGCCTTCATCACATTGGTGTGTGGCTCCTGACAATTGGAGCTTTGGAAACTTCAAAGGTGAAACCAATTGCAACTCCGATGAAAAGCAATTCTTCGTTGTGAAACAAATTCCTTCTTCTCCACCGGATATTGATGGTCTGTCACAGTGGACACATGGGGGCTGGGCTTTTAGTTGATCTCCAAACCTGCGGCGAATCGGAAAAGCAAGCTCTGCCTGATTCCCGTATAAATCAAGGGTGTCAAACAAGAAAGAAACCTACTCAGAAGTTGTACCCATGTGTTCCACGCAGTGTAATCAAAGGATGTCAAAAGAAAAGCTGCTTTTTAGTCCTCGAACTGCTGGAAGATCTCCTCAAGTCGGACCTCCTCGAGAGTGTTCACTGGTGACGCAACCTCAGCGCATCCAAGCATGAGCGCTTTGGCGCACAGCGATCTGATTCGAAGCATGAGGACTCCCCTTGGGGACCTGGGAAATTTGCCCAACAACAAATCATTAAAGGGTGTTTCCTGGTGGTGTTCTACACTTGTTCTGGAGCACCGATGAGTACCCGAGTTATCCGTTCGAAATGCCTCAGGTGGCATCCCGCCTCAGCTGATTCGCTGATCCCGCGAACTCATGCCGTCATGTTTGATCATCCGCGGAGGTCAAATTCCGTATGCGTTGCACTCTGAAACGCTTCCGAGAATCGTTCGCGTGGCGGCAAAGACGAGGACCCATGGCTCAAAGAAATCCTCAAACCCGATGCTATGCTGAATCGACCTGCTGAGTTTCGGCCGTCGACATGCTGAGTCGACATGCTGAACGATGACTAGCTCCTCAAACGCTGAAGCAGAGTTGTCTAAGGCACATGCCAATGGTATCATAATACAATGCATCGGGAGCTTGCTTGGGTGACTTAGATAGCTCCACTCACCAGAAGGTCCTCAAAGAGGTACGTGTAAAGCCTGAAAGTCACTGAGGAGAATCGGCTCGTCATGAGATCCCCGTTGATATTTAGGGTGAGGGGTCGGGGTCCCTATTTGGTAGTAAAAATCACTACAAAATGTCAGCGGCCAACGTCCCATCTCTACAAAATGACTCCAAAAAAAATGGACTCTTTTTGTAGGGAGGGGATAGGCCAATTATACAAAATGGAGGGGGCCAAGGTCACTGCTTGGTACAAAATGGGACGCGGTCTGGAAAGGCCTACTCATTCGGTAGTGAAGATGAATGCGCATGAAAATCATCAACAGTCAAGAATAGTCAAGACATGTCAAGACTGTCTTTTTTGACGCGCTTTTGGACGCCTGTCAAATGGCTGTGCTCCCCACGAAGCCTAGGCTTAATGGCTATACTTTGATAGGTGGCTGGCTGGCTGATTCCGCCGGATACTTCTGCTGGCTGCCTACCGGCCAACTCCGCTGGATACTTTAGGTGGCTGATTCCGCCAGCCGCCGGGTACTTTTGGTGGCTGGCTGGCTGATTCCGCCGGATACTTTGCTGGCTGGCTGGCTGATTCCGCCGGATACTTTGACAGGTGGCTGGCTGACTGATTCCGCCGGATACTTTAGGTGGCTGATACCACTGGCCACCTTCCCTACTCTACAATATGGGGGGGGCCCGATGGGCGTACCGTGCCTGACTGGCTCGTCATCCCTGACAGCGCGCAGCCCAATGCCTGGCGACTCCTCCACTATGCTGGTAAGGGGGGGCTCGCTTTAGCGTAGGAAGCACCAGTCGCTACCCACCAGGGCAAGAAGCCGATGCCGCACATAAGGCAAAAGAATACCAGTTCGAAGCTCTGCACAAGATTCACTTTTATGACGCATGGAGGAGCCAACCAGAGCTTGGCACCTTCCCCCCCAACCTGGACCCCCGCAAGCAGGCTGTTACTGGCCGCAGCAAAGCCCTTCCCCTGCGATCGATGTCAGCTCGGGTAGCCCCGAGACTGCAGCATGAGAACAGGAAGAGACAGGTATGCCAGAGAAAGACTCTGAGGATAGGGCCGACGAAGCACAACACGTGCAGACCCCGTCATCAGCAGAAGCCGACACTGAAGCAGAATGCCTGGGATTGTGCCTCTGACTTTGTACAGTAGGCCTGTCCCACACCAGCAGGTGCACCAGCCAGACCCAGTCACATCCACCAAGTTCCACCACATCCTGCCTATCAAAGATACCTCTCCGCCCTCCACCTTTGCCCTTTCAGCCCCCTGTCTAGGCTAGATCTCCGGACGCAGGATTGTTAGAATATCCATCCATCATGATTCCTTACAAAATGAAGGACCTCCCCTACCAAATAAGTACACCCAACCCACAAATCGTGCACTCTCTTTTCCCTACTAAATAAGTACACCCAACCCTCTTGCTGCCTACAAAATGCTGGCGTCCCAACCACAGGGGTCGTGCGACCAAACCCCTTTACTACCAAATGTGCATTCTGTAGGAGGGTTAACCCCCACGATTCTGTAGGCTAAATACCATCACTGATGTCATGAGTATCTTTGATCCTGTGGGCACATCTTGCAGTCCATGAGATACATCCAACTCACAACTTGCGAAATCAACCCAGGTGGCAATCCACCCAATGCTCTGCATCAACCCAGGTGAGCCACACCTGAAAGAAGATAAATAAGGGCACACGTCTTACAGGAGAACGATCTGTCCGCCTGCCAATCTAGCAACTGACAGGGCCCCAAATCCACCCCTTCTCCTCCTTTTCACAGCTCAGCCACGCATGAAACGTCAGCCGCGCATGCATCAATTCAGCGTTGGAGGCTCTCTTGGCCGCCGAACTCTATGCGAGGAAGCTGGACGCCAAACTCTCCAGCAAAGTAGGCGGCGCCGCCGCACAGAACTGCCCACCGGATGGTCCATGAAACCTCCCCTCCTTGCTGAGGCAGAGCCTGAAATCCAAATCTGAGTCTACAGGGATGCCACCAGATGTCATATTAAACATGAATAAACCATGTCATAACTTGAATGCCCTGGTTCCTTCTTCCACTTCCACATGGTCTGTTTCAGCTCAGTTGGGAAGATCTTCCTGCACGGCTTCTTTGGGGCTACCCCTCGAGATCTGGAGGCGATGGCCCATGAAGTGGAGGCAATTCTTTAAACTAAAGCTAGCTGTACAAATCTTTACAAATACCACGCTCATGTTCACCGCTGATTGATCAAACCCTCCGACCGGAGATGCAGAACCATCCAACCGTCCTGGTAGGAGGGTTACTATATAATCAGCAGTCAACACTACTTTTGGGTGGCGTGTGTTGGTGATTTGGGCTTTGCCCGGATGCATCCCTTTGGTTCTTTATCCCTTCGGCAGGCTGGCAAAGAGTTGGCTTCCGCTCCAAAAAAGCATCTGGAGCTATCAAGGTTTTGTGGTCCGACCAACTCCAGTAAAATGATTGGTGTTTAAGGGTATTGACCTCTGTAGGGCTCTTGTAGGGCTCTTGTTGTCAGGGATTTGATCCAAGAAACCACCATCATCACGCCTCTACGTCCCCATCTGGTCGTTTCGTGGTGAAGACGACGGACTCATCGACTTCTCTACGACGAAAACGACTCACACGCAGATGCCCTCCGACCCCGAAGAAAGTGGTAGACTCTCGCAAGATGCCTCTGTCACAGAGAGTCACAACAGGCTTCGAGAGAAAGGCCCAGGTTGTTGGATCATGTTGGATCTTGAAACCCTTTCCACTCAAAGCTCTTCAAGGCCCTGAGGAGGGAAAATCTCTACTAGACGACCAAACTGCAGGCATTTTACCAATCCAAGATCTCAAGTCTCCCCACCTTGCAGCACGTTACTCCATCCCATCCCAATTCCCATTCAAGCTGCGGCTCCCTCAAGGCGGGACGGTACCACCACAGCTCCCTCAGCGCGGCTCTCGCGCGCCACGCTGATGAGCTGCTGGAATTGAAGGCTCACCACCTCCTTAATTCGCCCCCTTCGGCGCACCCCGCCGGAACGGTCGGTCGGTCGGAACGAAGCTCTCCGGCGCCCTCCGAAGGCTCCGACGGATGGCCGCTCCGGAAGGCTCCGGAAGGCTCCGACCTCGGTCTCCTGCGTGGTCGGTCGTGCCTGAAAAAGACACTCCTCGAAGTTTGATCCATGGAAGATCGTGGATGAAGTGGATAGCACGGGGATTTCATGGTCCTCCAGTGGATTGCCCATGTCATACCATCCAGAGATGAATACCAAAAAGAGTGTGCATTGCACAAAAACCGCTGTCCTGAGAACTCGTTGAGAACTGGTTTTTGCAGCACAGTTGGTCCAAATCTCAGTGGCTAGAGATGGCGGAAGAGAAACCAAATAGGACCTATAGCAGTCACCTCAAAAACACGCTAGAGCAAGGAAATCCTTTTTGGGGGGTGCAACACTGGTCACTGTCATAGCCTTCTCTCTCTGTTTTTTTTCAGCGACCACCTAACAGAAAAAAAATGGTGGACCATGCTCCCAATCCAACAGAGAAATCACCCACCCAGACGCTCATGGACCCTACTAAGTAGGGGCCGGACCCTCATATGGAGCGGGTCCAGACCCCCAAATCCCTGATTTCAGGGACCGGTCGGCCGTCGTTCACGGAGCGTCTGGGCAGCTTCACCATCCACCATCCACCACCCACTTCAGACCCAGTTGCACCAATCCATCGGGCCATCACATCGGTCACATGTTTGTTCACCTGCTCAAAGGTGCTCGTCTCCTGCAGTCGAAGGGCACGCCCCGTGAAGGGCACGCCCAGTCGAAGAACAGGTGAGATGTTCACCCGTATCTCTATACCTTAAGGTCTATTCCATGAGCAGTTTAACAGTGGATGATGATGGTAGGTTGCAGACCTTTCTTTTAAAAAACACTAATTGCTTGACCGACCCGACTGTTAGTGGTTTACTAGGATACACATGGATACACATGGATACACCCACATCCACCAACCACACCCATCTCCCACCTCCAGAAACATGCTTCAACCAAAAAACCTGTGACCCCGTCAGTTCTTTTGACCTTCCCAACTCCCCTCACCTCTCTCGAGTCCGCTCCTGGATGGCGCGCTTCACCTCCTCCTCGTCCTTGGGGTCGTAGGCGATGGCATTCTGCGCATCGATGCAACTCACGGACTGAGTGATCTCCCAGATGCCCACCTACACATCGCGGGAAGCAGAAGAAACCGAGGAGGAGATGGTTAGTGAGGTCGATGGTTCGGTGGGAAGGACAAGGCTATAGCCCTATTTTTAGGGAGAAAGCTGGCAGAAAAGTGGCGCCCAAACTGGGCCTAACAAAGCTCCGGTACAACGAGCTCCCTCGTTGATTGAACGGCCACGAGTGAGTGAAACGGGGTGCTTTTCCGCCATGATGGCCGCCATGGCCACCCCCTTCAGATGGAAATCTCACAATGCAAAATGAGACACCCAGGGAATCCATCTCGCAGATCCACCGATTTCGGAGATGAAGACTGACAAGTTGGAGGAAAGTGGAACACCAAAGCCAGCACATGTGAGAGCCAAAGATTTGGATTCCATCCTTTTTCCGCCCCGCCCGACCTTTGGTCTCTCATCCATCCGAATCCATCCCGCCTCTCCCCGGCTGATCTGCTGTTGCAGCGATTCATTGGCAGAGAAGGGCATGGTGAAAGTCACCGGCACCTGTCAGCAGACACTGCTGAGATCTGCTGAGATCTGATGCCGATCTCACCCCCCTCGACAAAACAATTCGGGAGGAGAGAAAGATGGGGTGTGGAATTCAAGGTGCCCACCCAGATGCATTGAAAAAAGA